GACAATTCATAGTCCTACAAAATTAAAAATATTTAATGAAATGAAACAAAAACCAAATTGGGAAATACTGTGATCTAAATGAGAGTGAAAACACTACATTTAAAATCTTATGTGATACTAGTAAACAGTATTAAAAGAGAAATTTAAAGCCTTACATAAATATTTAAGAAAAGGAAGATGGCTAGAAAATTAAATGAACTAAGCATCCATCTGAGGAAATTAGAAAAAAAAAAAAATAACCAGGAAAGTAGAAGAAAATAACGTCAAAACTTGGTGAAATGCAAAACCAATATAAAACAGAAAACAGACATACCCAGAAGGTTTCTTCTTAATTCTAATAAAATTGAAAAATCTTTGGTAAGAATGGTGGAAAAACAAAAGAGAAGGCATAAATAACCATATAAGGAAAAATAAAGGGAATGAATACCCATATAGATGATACAGAAATTAAAAAAAGAGAATATAGCACGAACAACTTTATGTAAATATGTATTGATTGAAATAAGTTAAATGCCTAGAAAAATATAATAGCAAAACTGACACAAAGAAACACAACATTAATTATATCCATAACCAAAAAGGAAACTGAAGCAGTCATCCAACTCTTCCCAGAAATAAAAGTCCAGGCTTAGATGGCTATATCAGCAAATTTTACCGTTCAAGGAAGCTGTAGATCCAATCTTAGACAAATTTCCACAGAGAACAGAAAAAGAAAGAATACTTCCTAATTCATATTATAATACAAATAGTATAAATCTCCCACAAGGACACTATGAGAAAAAAAAAGCCAATTTCTCTCATGATATAGATACGAAAGTCCTAGAAAATTTGAGCAAACTAATTCCAAGAATGTTTGCAACATGATCCAGATGTGTTTATGACTGTAACGAAAGGCTAGCTGCAAATTTTCAAACTTTTAGAAAATGATAAGTTAATGTAATAACATACATTATAACAGACTAAAAGCGAATCTCAGATGCAGAAAAAATATCTGCTAAAATTCATTATTTTTTTCAGCAAACTAAAAAAATCTTAATAGTACTAAAGCACATCACCCAAAACCTTCCGCAAAATCACTCTTAATAGTAAAAAGTTAAAAAGTTTTCCTTTGTGGTTCAGGGAAAAGACAAGGATGCCTGCAATAAGCACTTTTATTCAACAATGTCTTGAAAGTCCTAAACAACACAAGGCCAAGAGAAAAGGAGAGGGAAGGGGAAAAAAGACTGGAAAGAAAAGAATAATATTGTCGGTATTACAGATATGAGTGTACGTGAAAAATCCAAATCTCCGAGTAAACCATCTGAATTAAGAGGACAGTTTGGCACATTCTCTGAAGTTAATTTTTCTTTTTTGTACCAGGAATCTAACTCAGGACCTTGCACTTGCCAGGCAGGCACTTGTGCCACTGAGCTATATCCCCAGGCCTAAGTTCTCTGAACTTAAAATAGCTATATATAAAAAATCAATTATATTTCTATGTACAATAGCAACACAAAATCTAAGAAAGATGCCATTTACAGTATCATTAAATGCTAATTGGGATCTAAAACTTTAAAAATTTGCAATATTTCTATGAAGACTACAATATATTAAATACACTTTAAAGTATTTAAAGATAACCTAAATAAATACAAAAGTATAGAACCTGCTAGTAGATTTGGAGACTCAATGTTTCTAAAACGTCAATTTTTCTTAATCTATAAAGTCAATGTTATCCCGATTAAAATACCAAAGGTACTTTTGTGGAACTCGATAAATGTCTCCTAAATTTTATACTAAGATCCAAAAGACCAGGACTTGCAAAGGCACTCATATAAAAAAGGAAAGAGGTGAGAAGACTTGTTCAGCCAGATTTTAAACCCTGCACAAAAACGATTTTCTGATGGAGCTGTGGAAGTCCTAAGAAGCCTTGTGAATAATATCTGAGAAAATTGTGATGACCTCAAAGTAGGGACATTTTCAAGCAAGAAATACTGTAAGTACAAGGGAGATTAATAAGTTTAACTACCCTAAACGAAAGATTTCTGTATATCAAAATCAGTGTCAGCCTGGGCGTAGAGCTCAAGGGTTAGAGTGATTGCCTAGCATGCCCATGGTCCTATGTCCAATCACTAACGCACAAGATAAGAAATCAGTATAAAAATATTTCAAAAGGAGAGGCCAAGAACTGGGAAATTATATATGCAATACAAATAAGTACTAGAGAATCTGTATCCAAAGTATCACAAATTCATAGAAATTCACTAAGATAAAGAAAATTTGATAGAAAAGTACTTCACAAAAGGAAACCAAATAGAAAATGGCATATAAATTAGTAATCAAGGAAGGAAATAGAAATTAAAACTTAAATGACTTTTTTTTGCCTTTTGAGATTGCGTCTTAGTATGTAGTTCAAGCTAGCCTTGAACTTACTATGTTGCCAAGGCTGACCTCAAACATGTAGTGATTTTCCTGTCTCAGCCTCCCAAGAGCTGGGACTACAGCATGCACCACCATACCTGGCTCTTTAATGATGTATCACTACATACCACAAGATGAGATGGAAATAAAAAGTTATACAAAGTGTGGTATATATTTATATTTGTATATGTTATGTATTCATATATTTATGAATACATAATATATATACAAAATACACATATATATATACCTTTACACATTTTCAAGAATGTTTATAGTGGCATTATTTGTAATACCACCATAATGGAAATATAATTGATAGGATAATATAGTGCATATTTTTACACAATGCAATTCTAAATAGTTTGCCACACATGCACATAACATACATTGAGAGGGAAAAAGCAAAACACAATAGAATATAAATGATTCATTTATATAAATATTTAAAACTTATTAAGGTTCAAAAATTAGCAAGACTAAGTATCATTTAGAAATATATACATAGGCATTTATTGAAATTTATTTTGGGTCTTTATACTTAATTAGTTTTGGTAAATGTTCAAAAGTCACTGAAAATAATGCAGTTTTCCTATTTTGGTTATAGGATTTCATATACATACAAAAATACAATGAGCATACATACAAAATACACACATATGCACACATATAACATATAGCAATGGCATTATCTATCAAGCTGAATTTGTTAAAAAAATTCTCATGATAATCATAGATTGGTCACCTTATAATTTCGTTTTGCTATATATTTTTACAACTATGTGGTTATCTACATACGTATTTATGATTGTCGTATTTTCTAGCAAATACTTGTGATGTAACAAGATGCACCTTGTCTTCCTACTGATATTATTCAATATAAAGAATAGTTTGATTATATTGCTAAAGTTTTTGTTTATAATTTGCCTAGCCTTTTTCTATCATTTCATTTTCTATACCTCAGTTGTTAAGCTGTTTATTTCTAATTATCTTAGGAATAATGTTCCAGCCTACTAATGAGATGGTGATGTGATCAGGCTAGACAGAGGCGGTTATTCTAACTGTACCAGTAATCTAGTGAATGATATGTCCCATAAAGGCGATCTCTAAGAAGCCACTCTCTAGGCCTCAGCGTGTCTTCATTTAAAATCAGGATTTTATTGGTAGAATACAAATCACTTTATTTCTCTATTTTTCCTACTTGTCAAAACAGATTAAAGCACTAGCTCTTTTTATTAGAAAATACATTTGCAGGTTAAAATTTCAATCCAGATCCTATTATTTATATTACTTTATTTTAAAATGTGATTTCTGACTCATGAGCATTGGTGGGTTTTTTCCATATTTTGTATTAAGAGCCTCAAATATTTTTAAGTGAAACTGTTGCCTTCTGCAGATAGATACTTTCATAAATAAGGGGGCTTACTAGAATTTAGATAAGTGACTCAACTGATAAAAATGGAGAGAGACTGTACTGGAGTTGTAACCACATTGAGGGTATGAGTAACTTAATGAGTTAACTTAATTTTTAATTAACTTAATTTATTAAAAAACATGACTGTTTAATTTAGTGACTATCTCCCAAATCAAAACCATTTCTCTGGATCTTGTCATATCTTCATTTGAAATCAGGATTTCAGAATGTAAGTTAATGTTTTCTCCTTTAAAATATAATAAAGTAAGGCAGTAACTTCATACATCAGAACACGTTTTCCTGATAAAACTCATTCATTCATCCATCTATCCACCCATTCATTTATTCTCTCATTTGCAAAACTGGAGAGAAGTCAAAATATCTCTATTCTCAAAAAAAGGAGGAAAAAAGGAAAAAGAGGTAGCAGAGATAAATACAGCTGAAGGAGGGGAATGTGGATACCAGTATTCCATGGGGGAAGATAACCATTTAAGAAACTATAAGAGAACTGGCAAGCAGAATTAGGGGTCCAACTACATTTTTGCAGTAATGGGTTTAAAATAAAATAAACAAATACAAAAATTTATGAAAGCTTGTATGATCTTTGCCAGCTAGGTTAGCTAACAGGATGAATTATAAGTCTTCAGTAAACTTTTCAACACTTCTTTTTGAAAAATATTTTCACACTGCTTAAATCAAAGGTTTTATTTCATTTTCTTAATAGTACTTTCAGACCATTTACATAGCTTGGCATGGTGACACACACCTGTAATCCCAGCACTCAGGAAGCTGAGGCAGAAAGATTACAGAGAATTCAAACCAGCCTGAGTTACATAGCAAGACCCTATCTCAAAAAAAAAAGATTAAGTAAAAAAATTGTTGATTTTTTTATTATTTTCAGACATTTTAGTCAAAAGCTTTTAATTTTGTGAACTGATTGATTATATTATATGTTGGTGTTATTTAAATTATTGAGAGTTTATTTTATTATAGTTGGCAGTCAAAAGATTGGGTAGTTAAATGGATTGAGGTGACTCAATCATGAGATTGATAAAAACCTTTACAATATACAACTGCATATTACTTTCTATAATTGGGTCACCATCTTGCCATTGTTACCCTATTCTTCTATTTCATAGTGCATCATTCATTCATTCATTCATTTACTCATTCAACAAATACTTACTCAGCACCTATTTTGTGCCAGGCACTGCTCTATATGCAGAGGATACACCAGTGAACAAGAGACAAGGTTCCTGCTTTCCTGGAACTTACGCTCTAATACAGGAAGATAGACAATAATAATAAAAATAATATTAATAACGATGGCTAACATATATCTACCAAATCCTGATGAGACGATTCTAAGCACTTTACAAGTATTAATTTACTTAATCCTTACAGTAACATTATGAGGCAGGGACTAGAATTAGCCTCATTTTTATATAAGGACACAGGGTGCAGAGGGAGAATAACTTGCCTACAGTCACACAGCTAGGAAAAGGACTAAACTGGAATTTAGAACCAACGTAGGCTAGACCTCTTTCTCTCAATGCCCTTGCTATGCAGCCTTTCAGACCTAAAACAAGGAAATGCAACAGCAAACATACAGGTAGTGTTCATAAGTGTGAAAAAATAAAACAGGGTGATGTGATGCTATTGTGGGGGTGCAAATAGAGATGTCAGGGAAAACCTCCAAAACCTGTAGTATCTGAGTTGAGACTTGAAGGATGGCAACACAGTCATCTTGGGGCAGAGGCAGTGAAGAAAAACTAGCATAAACTCCTCTAAACAGAAGAAATACCAACTTGACTACTAGAGCTTGGTATATAAGAATGAACGATTGGAAGTCAAGTCAGGGATAAAGCAGAACCCAGACTCCATGGGACCTCAGGTCACTTGAAGAAATACGACTTTTACTCTAAGTGCAGCAGAATATTATAAAGGAACATAAATCATCAGATGGATAATTTTGAAAGATGGCGTCCACTGCTACATGCAAAATTGTAGTACAAAAGAAGCAGGAAGACCCACGGGGGCAATTATGAGCGGAAGATGACTGTGGCTTGGCTTAAGGTGGTGCCATGAATGACATTTAGGGTAACTTTTGAAAGAACGGGCGAGACTGGCAAATAAGCAGGATCCAAAAAGTGAAGGAAAAGGAATTTAGGTGGGTATCCTGGGATTTTGGTTTGAGTTATCAGTACGATGTATAAGGGGAATACCTTCCTACGAAAAATCTAGATTTGCATCGTGAACTTTGAGGGGAAGGATCTTTTTCTGCTTTTCTTTCTCAATTTAAAATTGAGCTTGGGGAGAAAAGTATTTAAATGTTAAATTTTATGAGACCCTGACACAGGAAGCTAAGTTGGGGAAGCTGGATTTTTGTTTGTTTAACAATCACTTATTGAGCATCTAAGTCAGGCCCACTTCTACGGGAGGCGACATATACATCTGCATCAAGACAAACTCAGCCCTGCCCTCAGCGAGCTTTTTCTCAGGACGGGAGAAGACGGCCCTGTGACCCCCGCCCGCGCCCCCTCTTCCACGCCTCGTTAAAACTTCCCCAACGCCTGAGTAGCCATCTTAATTCCACCTCGCGCTCCGGGCAGTTGGGCCCACCAACGTTCCAAACGTTCAAGGTCGTAAACGCTAACACTGACATCTCCCGTCCAGCAACGCTAAACGCCTTCTTAATAAAAATAAAAATTTCACAAACAATACGACTACAACCTTTGCTTTGAAGTCTAATATTTTTGCAGGAATGGTACCTTTATAAAGATCGTGGCTGCCCCCGTAACATTTTTGTTCTTTCTTCATATCCAATTAAATGAAAACACTAGTTTTTCCGTAGCCCAACTCCCTAGGCTTGCTGGGTCTAGCTCAGGAGAAAGGACCGAAGCAGGAGCCGTTGAATTCAAACAGTTTGGTGTAATCCCAGCCGGGGACGTGGTGTCGGCTACCCGGGGTTTCCCATCCACGCAGAACCGGAATGGAGGAGTCTGGGAGGGGGTCGGGAAAGGAAAAGACGGAAGAGACATTAAGTAATTGGTTCTCCAAGGTATAAAACGATATTTAGGGTCTACTCTAAGGCACTGATTTCAAACACCCGCCCCCTGGGCTGTTTCGGCCCCGCCCCCTGGTGTCGTCACGCCAACGTCCACCAGCGCCTCTGCGGATTGGTCGTGGCCTCCGCCGCTGAAGGCGGGTAAAGAGCGTGGGTTTTGCTTCCGGGTCTCGGGCCGCAGCCTCGGACGCAGGGGATTGTGGGGTTGGAGCGTCGCAATGGTGTTTGTTTGAGGCGCGGAGGCTGCAGTTTCGTCCTTGCGCCAGGGTGAGTGGCGGGCGGTTGCGGTGCTCCCTCCTTAAGCGGGTGGGCTGGGAAAGGGCGGCCGGCGTCGACTCCGGGGAGGGTGGAGGAGGCCCCAGCGCGCTGGGCCCGGCGCGCGGCCGCGGTTTTCGGGCCCGCCGCGGGCAGCCTTGCCTTGGGCCCTGGGCGGGCCGGGCCGCGAGTTCGGGTTGGCGGCCGCGGGCGCGCTCCGGGCGCCGCAGAGCTGGCGCCGTGCGGGAGGCTGAAGCCCCCGCGAGAAGCCCCCGCTGGGTGCTCTGGACGCGCTCTTTGATTACTGGGAGGCGTGTGTGACGGCGAGAGCGACATCCTGCTGCTCACACCTTCCCTTGGCGTGTTTCCCACCGCTGCCGGAATTCAGCAGCCGTGCGCGCCAGGCGAAGTACTTTTGGTTGCTCAAACCTGAAAGTAACGCAGGACGAGTTCCGTATTTTTGGTTGTTAAGATTCTTTGAGGGGCTGGGGATTTAGCTCAGCGGCACAGCGCCTGCCCAGCAAGCGCAGGGTCGTGAGTGCAATCCCCGGTACCGGAAGAAAAAACACACACACCAAGAAGATCTTTTGGGGGTGAGGTTCCTGCTCCCTGAGCGAACAGAAATGTGTATGTGTATAAATATAAATTTATGTAAGTTAAGTATGAATCCGCTGTGGTCTGACTTACTATGGTAGCTGTTCAAGGAGAAAAGGCTTGCCGAAGAATATTGCCCACATCAATTGAATTTTAGCACTTACCTCCAAAACACTGAATAATTACGTCAGTGATTTTTAAATTGTTTTTGCTAGCATATTTGCCTTTGTTGAGGTTTAGATGAAATGTAAACCCTAGGGAGTTTGATGGAGTAAGGTTGAGATTTTTTGAAGACTTAGTCATGGCAGTTGTGTATTTTACAAGGACTTTGACGTGCCATGTCTCCTAATTTACTTTTCCTTTTTCTGTCAGTACTGGAGATTGAACACAAGGCCTTTGCACTGAGCTACATCAGTGCATTTTTTTTTGCTTTGAAATAGGGTCTCGCAAAGCTGCCCAGGCTGGGCTCAAGCTAGTGATCCTCCTGCCTCAGCCTCCCAGAGTGCTGGGATTACAGGCGTGGGTACATCACCGTGTCTGGTTGGCTAATTATGTTTGTGTGTTCTGATTTGTTACTGTGGTCTCTGGACACTAGCACACCAGGCCTGTGCTCTCAGGGATGGAATTGCAGTTATGCTTTTTCCTAATTTACTTAATCTTGTGAACACTAGCCCTGTTCCACAGGTGACAGAAAGGAGATAGGGGCCTTGCCAAGGCCACACCGCCAAAAACAGAACAGAAACACCAATCCAGTCTGTATGACAGAATATTTTCTAAATAAGAGCTACCTCAGAAACTATATTCATTATATACCCTGAGCCTCATACTGTGTTTTCTTGAGAGTTTTATAAAAAGATTTTTAGAGAGCTTTTGTAGAATGCATTTGGGGAGTTTTTCATGAGGATAAATATTGATGCGTAATTTATAAAATGAAAGTGTAATAGAAATAACTTTTTTTTTCAAAGCATAAAACATGACAACAGCAGCCAGGCCAACCTTTGAACCTGCAAGAGGTGGAAGAGGAAAAGGAGAAGGTGATTTGAGCCAGCTCTCAAAACAGTATTCAAGTAGGGACCTTCCATCTCACACAAAGATAAAATATAGGTAATAATGACTTTCATTTTTTCTTATTCACAAGACAAACTGTTAAATGGTATGGTCATGGTATATGATCATGTTTGAGTTATATCACTTACCTATTTTTGTAGGAATAGAATGCAAATAAAGTGCTTAACAATAAAATTATGCTCTAAGATTTTAAAGTGCTACCATACATTCCTCTTAATGAGAGATCTCCCTACGTAGATAGAACAGTAGTTAATATATTACTTTAGAGAGATTACAAGCATTATCAGTGGTAAGCAGTATTCGATAAAAGTATTTTTGTAAACAAGCTTATGATTTGAATCAATCTTCAGCCATATTATAGGAATACAAGTGATTCACTTTGGGCTTCTTGAAATATTGGAAACATCACAAATGTGTTATCTGATTCTCATTCTTGTTTTATACTCAAGGGACAAAGTTGCATTTGTGAACTGTTTCTCATTTCTAGAGCCATGCAATTTTTTTTTCTTTCATGGAGGTAACATTTTTTTTTTGCGTTTGCTTCTAATTTAGACAAACTACTCAGGATGCCCCTGAAGAGGTTCGTAATCGTGACTTTAGGAGAGAATTGGAAGAGAGAGAGAGAGCTGCTGCAAGAGAAAAAAATAGAGATCGTCCAAACAGAGGTACAACACTGACCCAGATATTGGTCTCATAAAATTCTGTTGTTGATAGTCTTCTTTCATGCGGCGTATGGGAAGTGTTAATATTTTTGTAAATTCTAACACTGCCATACGGTTTTATGTGGGCTCTTTGTGCCCATAGGTCTCTTAAACATCATAAGAAGTGTAGTTGTTTCAGTGAGCTAAAGAATGTTTGTTTGCCCTCAGAACACACAACTTCCTCTTCAGTGTCAAAGAAGCCTCGGTTAGACCAGATTCCCGCTGCCAACCTTGATGCAGATGATCCTCTAACAGATGTATGTTGTGTTTTCTCCTTTTCGCTCTGTATAGTAATTTATCGTGTTTTTCTAAAGTACCTTTTTTTAGTGCTTCTGATTTTTGGAAGTGATCTGTGTTTGTTTTCCACATAGTGTTACTCAAATGTGTCTAACCTCAACCCTAAACTTTACAGTTGATTTTAAAATAAACAGTATTATTTTACATTAAGGATGTCAAGAACAAGTTTGATCTCTAGAGAACCGAATGTGGAAGCAGTCTGTTAAAAGACATGCTTTCCCCAAAATTTCCTATACTAAGACCTCCAGGTTGTACTAGCGTATTTCCTCTAGAGGACAACTTAAGGTTGGGCTCTGGTTCTGTGAACAGCACCCCCTAGCTTTGGGCCTTCCCTCATTAGATTTGAAGCTCCCTTCAGCAGTTCAGTGCATGTAATGATTCCCTCTGTGCTTAGGGAAGGAAATAATCTAAGCAGGTTTTTAAGGATTCACATACCAACTCGTATTAAAATTCATTGGGGCCTTATAGTTTGTAATTCGAGGTTTTCAATGTAACTGAAAAAAATCTGGCTAGTATCTAATTATGCACATATGTCAACAGTTAATTCTAGAGCTAACTGATGGGGTTACTAGCACTCATCAAAACAGGAATCTGAGTTTTAGTGATATTTAATGATTATCCATTTGAAATTACTTAGTACCCTTTTTGTATATCTAATTGCCCCTAATTGCTAGTTTACAGCTGCTATTAGCTACATAAAATTAGTCTCTTAGAGTGATGTACTGTATGTATATACTGTGTATCATCATAAGGTATTCCCTTTCTGGGTTTTTTTTCCCCCCGTATGGGGAATCGAACTCATGACCTTGTGCTTGCCAGGCAGGCACTGTGCCACTGAGCTAAATCCCCAGCCCCGATACTCCCTTTCTGATTTTAGAATATTTTCATGTGGAAGTTTTTTTGGCCATGTAAATTTGAGAGGCGCTTTGTGAGGGGTTGACATGTGTGTAAGCATTCAAAGATTTTTTGTGGGGCTTTATTTTTTTGATTCATTGTTGATTTTAATCATGATATTTGGGTATATTTTCCCACTAGGAAAATTTATTTCTGTCTCAAAGATTTGGCATGTGCAGTATTTATGGGGAAAAGTAAATACGTATTTTCTCTCTAATCTCGTGGATCATCATTATGTCTTTTTAGGAGGAAGATGAAGATTTTGAAGAGGAGAGTGATGACGATGATACTGCAGCTCTTCTTGCAGAACTAGAAAAAATTAAAAAAGAACGAGCTGAAGAGCAGGCCAGGAAGGTAATAGTGAAGTTTTAAATATTTACATTTCCCTGTCTTTTCACACATTTTTTTAACTCAAGAAAGAGCTTTTTGTATTAGAAATTTTCTTCATCATGTGTGAATATGACACTACCCTGTGGATCTATAAATCTGATTATTTTTATGACAGACATCCTAAGTCTCCTGGTTATGTTGGGTATTCTTTTCCAATAGTTAAGGTATGCTGAATAATAGTCATCAGAACAGTTGTACTCACTTTTTCAGTGCACGTTTAGTCAGTGTTTATTAAGTGTCAGGAGAATCGAAGATGATTAATGTGTAGTGATGTCTACAAAGATTTTTTTCTCTTTCTTGTCTCCCACTAGATACTAGTTGAGGCAGTCTGTATATACATTTTATATAGTCTTGGGCAAGTTACCTAACTACTTTGAGTACCCCGAGTCTCTCCATTTATACAGTGAAAGAAAAGAAGATCTAATTCAGTGTCTTTGGGGAAATAGACGCATAGATTAAGACATGCAACTGGGAGACAAGCACAAGTCTGATCATTTAAAGATTATAAACCAGTGCTCCAGGAGTTTGGATTTTGTTCTGAAGGTTATGAGGAGCCATTTAATTTCAGCAGGAGATTGATACGATTGCATATGCATTTTAGAAAGATTACTAGGGCAAAAATATGGAGAGTAGATAGGAAAGCACTGAGCTAGGAGACTTTTAATAATCTTCACATGCACCTAGGAGAATCAATTTGCATGGTAGGAGTTGGAATTGAGAGAAATAAACAAGTAGAAATAAAGCAATCAAGGAAGTAGGATTGACCACATATGGTGATGGTTTGGTTGTAGCAGCAAAAAGTACATGACTGATTCCATACACAAACACAGAGAAACTGGAATTAGACATGTTTAAGCAGAAAGAAATGAGTTCTGTTCTGAACATAGTGAATT